AGGTGGGAGAAATGTTCAATATCCATACATTCAGATAAACGCATAATCCTAAACACATAACCCTTTTAAAACATTCCACTTTTAGTCTTCTTTATACCTTAACTATTTTCCCATTCATATGCCCATGGCCTTGGACCTCTGGCTGGGTGGACCCAGTAGACCCTGGCCCCCTGTCAATCATCTTGCTTTTCTGGCCTGGCTTTTGCTCTAGACTACTCCAGGTGCAGATTTTCAGCCATTACAAGTAAAAACCAAAGTAACCATCTAAGAAGCAAAAGTTTCACTTCCCAAGCCCCTTTGTTCTTTCTCTTACAAAGTCCCGTGCTCTTGTGAGTCAGAAGCCATTGCAAAGAATCCTGCCTCTGACCACAACTGTAAAAATGACATAGGGGCGCTGTGTCTGACATTCTCCAACCCCACAAAGGGGAAGGAGAATCAAGATCAACAGCCCAAGGCTAATTCCCATGAGGTGGAGGTTAGACATGCCTTCTTTCTCCACCATCTTTACCAGTTCTGACACCTCCCACAGCACTCTCTACTTATTGGCTGGGTTCAATTTTTCATTACAGTGGCCACACACAACTCACAGACCACACTCACAATTATGGGGTTTATTAGGGAAGTAACAGTTATAATTCAGGCTCAGGAACACTCAGGATACAGTTCTTCCATCAGGATAGCCTCTTCCTAGCCATGCTCACAGGCACTCCTCTCCCTGGGCCGCAGTCTCTGTCCAAAGACACTCAGCTTTCTCTGTCCACGGGCTGGAAAGCCTAACGCACTGTCTCCTGCTGCTGGGTCTCCCCTGCTTGTCTCGCCTTCCTTGGTGGTGGTGGCTCCTTCGCTCTGCCCTGGAATTGGCTCTCCTTTAAGGCAAAACTGACCAATCCCCTTGGTAGGCCACAATTACCCTATCACACAGTCCTGCCCAATCACCTTCATGGGAGTTACAAGACCATGGCTAGAAAGGCCACACACAAAATTAATTAACCACACCACGAGATCTGTCTCTTAAGTTCCTGCCGGGAGAGCCTAGGGACCATGCCAACCCAGCTGCATCCTCTACCAGAAGAGGACAGTGGATTGGAGTGGAGGCCACACACTCTTCTTACTTTACCTCTCTAAGACCAGGCCAAGGGACCCCTAGAAATTTAGTTTACATCTTTAAAAGTAAGATGAACTACTGTCATTTATGAGAATTCTGCTTAGGTTTTATGCCTGACTTCTTTGCCACACAGTATGATTGTACACATCATTAAATATTCATTTGTTGAGTGCTTGCTGTATGCCAAGCCCTAGATTCTAGGGACACAGATGTGAGTAACACATAGTGCCCTTGTTCAAGAAGTTTACTTGCTAGTAATATGTGTTATATTAACTTTATTGAAATTTCATTTAATTTTCACTATGAATCACATATGGTCAGGCTTCAGCATTTGCTGCTCATGTAGTACGGTTGCTTATTCTTAACTTAAACAAAAAATAAAGAGAATATTGTATTGCTTTTGCTGTTTGAGTTAACTGTTCCTAGTCAAAATCTCAACTCTCTGCTGAAAATAGTCGTTCAGACTGAAAAACTTTGTAATGCTTGGAGACTGTGATTCATAAAATACCTTTTCATCAGCCCTTTTAAAGAATGTAAGACTCAAGTTGGCTTTACCTCTCCAAGGAAACTTATTCAGCGTGTTCATACAATAAATATTTAAATAAATACCAACTATGTGCCTTTAAAAAGTGTTAAAATCTGGTCCCTATCCTCAAGTTCACAGCCTATTTAGGAAGACAAGATTGAGTATTTTAACAATTATGTCATCTCATCTCTCAATTTACATGTGGTTAATTCATACACTTTGGGAATTAAAGCAGTTAAGAAACAACCACCTTTTAAAAATGATTTGTTTTCAGAAAAACATAGTTTCAACTTCTTTCTAAAGCATTTTAGGTCTCAGGCTGACTGTACTTTGCAGGAATGCTGCTGGGTGGTCAACGAAGATCCAGCCCAGGTGGTGCCCAGCCTGGGCTCTAGAGTGCTTCTTCAGTGTCTTTTCTTTCTTTCTTTTTTAATGACCATTAAGTAAAATCACAAAATAGACGATACTAGTTAATATTTCAGAGAAGACTGTTAGATGAGGAAGCAGAGAAAGCTTATCACCATTGAAGTCATAATGGAAACTAAAAGGCATCTGTTTTCAACCATTTCTATTAACTAATTAATCCAATAATTCAGTCCTTATTTATTATATGGTATGTGCCAGGTATTGTTCTGGGTGCTGGAGATGGAGCAATGAACACACCAGAAAAAGCTGCCCTCACAGAGCTCATCTTCCTGTGGCATATGAAGCATACAACACCATGAAAAAGCACAGTCAGATCTATGGGTGGCAGTGTCTTCAAGCTCCAGTGCTAAATTTGGAACCTCACCAGCCTTGACACACACTGTATATGTATATATGATTTTTGCCAGTGGAGACTAATGCTGTCACAGTATTGAACATTTTAGTGACTTTTTTTTTTGTTTCATGAATAAACATTTGTACATAATCATTTTTCCTATAAAATTTATTTACTGTTTATATTAATGCAATATGAGAAAAAAGATCATGACTTTTTAAATTCATCTCTGCCTTTTTCTTTATTTCTTATAAGCATATTTGGATTTAAAATTTTTAAAATCTTTTACTTCTTGGAAACCTAAACGTTGCATAAATCAAGAGATGGGTATATTTGAAGTATATCATTATATTTAAAGTAGAGTATCCTTAAATCTGGAAACCCTGGTGGTGCAGTGGTTAAGAGCTACAGCTGCTAACCAAAAGGTTGGCAGTTTGAATCCACCAGACGCTCCTAGGAAACCCTAGCGGGCAGTTCTACTCTGTCCTATAGGGTCGCTATGAGTCAGAATCAAGTAGACAGCAGCAGGTTTGTTTTGTTTTTTTTAATTCTTAAATCAGTTAGATTTCAGTTTTATAAGACCTTGACTGGATTGGTTAATTTCCCTCATCCTGATTTCTTCCACTTGTATATTAAGGAGAACGAGCACCATATCCTCCCTTAGGAAGGCAGAGCTGCGATGTGATGAATCTTTAACTGGAATTAAGAGACTTGGATTCTGGTCGTGGCCCTCCCACTGGCTAGCTTGGGTGACCTTGGGCAAGTCTCCTAACCTTCTGGTACTTCAGTTTCCTATTTGTAAAATGAAGAAGTTGGACAAGATGAGCACCAATGTTGTTTTTCAGCTATCACCTTTTGTGATTGTATGTGTGGATTTGTATTTTATAAGTACTCTGAAGAGCTGTCTGAAATGCCCATTGGTCAGTACAAAGCAATATAAAATATAAGACATTTTGTTCATTAGGGACTACAAATCAGTGACAGTCTCAAATATATGTTTCATTACTTCATCATTAGAATAGTCTATAACTTTAGCAAAGGCAAGGACTGTGTCTCTCGTATTCATTATGTATCTTTGGCACCTGGCACATAATAAAAACTTTATAAATATTTGTCAAATGAATGAATGTGACTTGTATGGACCATTATCTGCCATCAAAATTTCACCATTTTCCAACATCCAACATAAGGTCCATCTTGTTACTTGCCCTTGATCATTTCAATGTAAATCCCAGACATTACATTATTTTTTCTGTAAATAGTTTATATATCTTAAAGATATTCCTTTTAAAAAATAACCAAAATATCATTATCACACCTAAAAATTTAATTGGCAGCTATTCCTTAACATTGTCATGTAGCCAGCCAATATTGAGATTTCTCCAATTCTATTTTTTTTTTTTTTTTTTTACAATTGAGTTTGTTTGAATCAGGATCTAAACAAGGGCCCCTCCGCATTTGGTTGATATATTTCTTGGGTTGCTCTTTTTTTAAAAAAATTTTTGTATAGAAAATGTCAAACATATAAAAGTAGAGATAAATGTGAAATGAACTCTATCATGTACCCATCAACCAGCTTCAACTACTGTCAAGATATGGCTAATATTGTTTCATCTATACTCCTTTATTTCTCCCTCCTGCCATATCATTAAATTGAAGCAAATTCTGGATGTCATAAAAACTTGAATATGTATCTCTAAAAGATAAAGATTTAAAATAATAATAATCACAATACCTTAATCACACCTGAGACGATGAACAATAATTTCTTAATATCATCACATATCCAGTATTCAGATTTTTCTAATTGTCTCATAAATGTTTTTAACAACTGATTTGTTTGAAACTGGATCTAAATAAGGTCCACACGGTGCATTTGGTTGATAAGTCTCTTAAATCTCTTTTAATCTACAGATTAAACCTCTTCTTTTTTTTTTTCTCTTTTTTTTCTATTTATTTTTATTTCTTGCCATTATTAAAAAAACAAATTCTTTGTCCCTTGGAATTTCCCACACTCTGAGTATTGTTGATTACATTTCTGAGGCATAATTTAATATTTTCCATTGTCCTTGTATTTCTTGGAAACTGGTACGTAGATCTAGAGGCTTGATTGGATTTAGGTTCAGTTTTTGGCACAGATACTTCATAGGTGGTATAGTGCACTTCCTGTGACATCATATAAGGAGGTGCCTGGCTTTCCCTCTTTTTTATGTTAAGATTGATCGGTGGGTTCACATGTTGTCAGTCTGCTTCATCCATTATAAAATTCCCCCTCAGCCTTTTGCCTAATGCTTTTAGCTGCCATGGATGTCATTGTCTTGATCCATTATTTCATTAGGGAAAAGGATGTATTTAATATAACCAAAAGTTAATCCTGTCATTCAGAATGGTTTTGCATTAATGTTGTATGTTAGATTTTTTTAACATCGTAATAAATTTTGTTTGTTTATTTTAATCACTTTTAGTGGCAGTGAGGGGAAATAAGGTTTAGGAAGAGTGCCTTGTGAACCATAAAAATCTGTATAAATATTGCTATTAGAAGCTTTATTAAAATACAAAAATATAGAGAGATTGTTTTCAATAAAAATCATTACTTTTTATCTCAATAGATTCTCAAAAGGATTTGGAAAATGTCCCATCAGTAAATTCTCAGGCACAGGAGACCACAGTCACAGCAAGTGCCACCAGAGAAGCTCAGACCCCACACCCTGCCTCTGGTGTTAACAAAAACCACCAAGGGGTAGAGGTAATAGGTCCAGGAAGTGCAGATGAAACAACTGATGGGAAATACCCAAAGGATGAAGCAGAACAGGAGACCAAGTGGAGTTCTCAGGATGGAGAAGAAGGGCATCACTTCCATCCAGGAAGTCTGGGTGCAGAAGCCTTGGATCCAGATCCTAACCGTTCTCCAAGTGACAGGGGAGAAAGGGCAGATGCACACTTAGGGAGCCGCTCTGCAGCCCTCCCTGAGGAAGCCAGTGTCAGAACCACAGCTTCCCAGGAGCCACCTGCCCCAGACTCCCAGGATGCCCAGACTCCTGGTCGTTCCAATGCGGGGCTGGAGAGCCAGTACACACTGAGGCGGCGGCCGGCAGCACCAGGTGAGAGAACCCACTGAATGACTGTCCTGCTTTGTGTTGCTGTGCTACTGAGCACACAGCCTAAGTGAAGCCCTTCTTTCTTTTCAGAGAATTTTTGCCTTTCTTTCACAGGATTAGGGTAAAATGTAACTTAAAAAACTTTTTTTTTTTTTTTTTTAATAAAGATGCAGGGGCCTTGACATTCTTCGGCCCTGCATGTTTGCTGCTAATATGTAGAGTGCTTGCACGTGCTGTAAAATGGAGCTGAAAGCAGTCTTTGTTGCTGCACACAGGTAGTCTTAAGCCCAATCTAGGAACCGGCTATAGATTTTTTCACCATGTATTCCCTCACATCTTCTGCTGTAAGGAAATGGGGTCTTCAAAGTTTATGGTTCCCTAATTGCTCCAGCTGGGGACTCTGATCTATGGAGGGGTAAGCCCTAGAGAGAATCGCTGAAGGGGATGGTCTGTAACTCCCATCATAAGTACTGCCCCTGCTCCTTTTTTCTTTGCCCCATGTGCTCCCCTGCCTCATGCCCTCTTGCTGTGTGAAAGGCTCTCCAGAAGAACCCACCTTTTTCCTTCTACACTGCCCTATCCCCCACATTACTCTCCTTCCTTCCACCCACTCCTCTCATGTCTCAATGAATGAATGTGACTTTTATAGACCATTATCTGCCATCAAAATGTCACCATTATGCGTTCACTATGAGTAGGAAAGTAAAATATTGTTTTAAAAATGCAGGTTAGCAGTGATGGACTCATGATATTATACATTTATTAAAACCCATAGGGCTATACAACACAGTGAACCCTATTGTAAACTATAGACTTTGGTCAATAATAATGTATCAGTATTGGTTCATCAGTTGAAACAAATATACCACATTAATGCATGATGTTAATAATAGGAGAAATTATATGTGATGGGCACAGGGGTACGTGGGAACTCTGTGCTGTCTGCGCATTTTTTTTAGTAAACCTGAAACTGCTCTAAAAAGTAAAGTCCATTAATTTAAAAAAAAAAATCTTTCTAGGCTAAGACAGACTAGGAATAGGACCCAGCAGTCTACTTCTGAAAATAACCTTGGAATAGCAGTGTAACATTGTCTGATACAGTGTCAGAAGATGAACCCCTCAGGTTGGAAGGCACTCAAAATATGACTGGGGACACAGTGGCTGCAACAGTGAGCTCAAGCATAACAATGATTGTGAGGAAGGAGCCGGACCGCAGTGTATCGGCAGGGTCGCTATGAGTTTGAACGGACTTGATGACACCTAACAACAACGAGGAGATAAGAAACCTCATTCTAATCTCAACTCAGCCACATCTCTTGTGACCTTGGGCAAGGCCCTTAACATTCTGGGACATTTTATCTGATAGGTAAAGTAGGGGGTTGGAGCAGGTGATCGTTAAAGATCCTTTCTTTTCTTTTCCTGGTTAAAGGTCTTTTTGGCCCTTAAATTCTATGATAGTTTAAAAACATTTTTGGTGCAGTATGATTAATTGAACTATCCTTTACAGGTGAGGACGAATCTACTTCTCTATGTCAATAGGGTATGCTCCTCGAGTTGTTTTTCCAGCAAGAGTTACGGGCAGTACTCAGCTGTTTTGAGATTCCCGGCTGGAGTCCAGCACAGGCCTGGACTCTGGGTGTTTTAGTTTAGAGTGTTGCGAAATAATGCCTTTGTTTTCTTCCAGACGTGTTTTAATTGACCTGGATTTTTACAGAGTTCATAAATTTTATTAACCTTGTGTTCCTTGCTTTGTACACTTCCTTCACTATGAGTTTCAAACTTGATTTGTAAGCTGTTTTGTAACTGTACAGTAATCTCTCCTGCCTCTGAATTTAATGCCTCTGTTATTTGTATACTTGAGGGTCTTGAGCAGCCAGGTTAGATTTGAACTCTGGAATTAGAGCATCATTACATTATGATGTTGAATCTTGTAAACAACTGACATTTTAAAATGCCTTCTTAATTTTGTACTTTGGTGAATCATGTTTTAGATCGGTTTGGCTGCAATATTGGAATGCTTGTGTCTTTGACCTTGATATACGGGCCAGTGGGAAATTATGAATGTAGCAAAAGTATCCTTAAGTGAATTCCACAGCATTTTGTTTTATTCTTCTAGGTAGAATAAAAGCAATTTAGAGCCTCCAGGAAAAGACAGGGAAAAAGCTTTGTAAAAAGGAGAATTTTACTAAGTATAGAAATCCTATCAGTCAGTTCTTTGGTTTGATGAGAGAGAGGTAGAAAGGTATGCACACAGTCTCTAGCGCACTGTTTAAAAATAATGTTCTTTTTTTTCCCCTAGAGGTCGGAAGTCATGTACAAGAAGCACAAAAATTGGAAGAAAACAAAGAGAATGCACAGGACACCAGAAGAAAGATATTAAGCTGTTCGGGGTTGCATGGTGAGAGCGAACCCAGTTTCGCTACAGTGTTGATTCACATTCAGAAATCCCCAGTGAACAATGCCTAGAAAACTGGCAGATTTAAGCAGTTTTAATTTTGGACTAGTTTTTTTTTTTTTTTTTTTAAAGGTGTTTGGTAATGATAATAAAATAGAGCAATAGAGTTTTAGGAATTTTTCCGTTCAGGGAACTGGCTGATATTTTTCTGTGCTTAACAAAAGGGAAATTCTTACAATAGGAGAGACTTTTCCTAAACAAAAAAACTAAAACCACTTTTTCAATTAGAGAGTATTAGCTTCTCAAGTGGCATTTTTAAGTTCTGGTCCTTAGAAAAAGAATAGTTTGTACAGGTAGTAGGTATTTTGAGAAGATGAATATCCTGATAGCTCATTTTTTAATCACATTAATTAATGCAACAATTACATAAACTCAGCTTCTGCCCTTTAACAAAGATATTGTGTCATCATTAATTTAATCTGAGAAGAAATTAATGAAAAGGTGTTTCTAATAGACCGTAATAGCAGAAAGTTTAAAGGAGTTAGGGAAAAGAAACCCACCACTACCAGTAAAATATTCATTTCAGTTTACCACAGGCTTTGTTTCTACTCATATTTTCTCTAATTTTCTCATTCTCTGACAGGATACATCGTTATTGCCCTCCTGGCCATGGCTCTGTGTATTTTTTTGCTAAGTCCTATTAGTAGCTACTATTTTTCTCAAGCCCAGCAAGTGCCCAAAAATGAAGCTTTGGAGGCCTTCCTGGCTGAGTTCACCAAATTGAAGGATAAATTTCCAGGCCAGAGTTCCTTCCTGTGGCAGAGAGGATGTAAATTTCTACAGAAGCACCTCAATGTTTCAAACCCCACAGAGCCAGCCACCATCATATTTACAGCGGCTCAGGAGGGAAGAGAGACCCTGAAGTGCCTGAGCCACCACATTGCGGATGCCTACACCTCTTCCCAGAAAGTCTCTGCCATTCAGATTGATGGGGCTACAAGATCCTCGCAGGACAGTGACACAGTCAAGCTGTGGGTCGACGTGGAGCTGAGCTCTGGATTTGAGAATGGCCAGAAGGCTGCCGTGGTGCACCGCTTTGAATCCCTTCCTGCTGGCTCTACCTTGATCTTCTACAAGTATTGTGACCATGAGAATGCAGCCTTTAAAGATGTGGCCCTGGTCCTGACTGTCCTACTAGAGGAGGAAACATTGGAAGCAAGTGTAGGCCCAAGGGAAACTGAGGAAAAAGTCAGGGATTTGCTCTGGGCCAGGTTTACCAACTCTGACACTCCCAACTCCTTCAACCACATGGACTCAGACAAATTGAGTGGGCTGTGGAGCCGTATTTCACACCTGGTGCTGCCTGTCCAGCCAGTGAGGAGCATAGAAGAACAGGGGTGCCTTTTAGAAAGCTAAGCACAGAGTTGGTTATAGAAGGCATAGATTTTTTTAAAAGTCAGTTTAAAGGACTTCCACTTATGTGGACAGTGGTTGATAAATACTAGGAAATAGCCAGAAAAGCACACACAAGTGAGCTTATTTTAGAAAAAAATTTTCAATTTCTACTTTTCATAATATTTTTCTAATCAAAGTGTGTCAAAGCTAAAAATTGACCTGATTTTTCCCCTCGCCTTTCAGTGTGGCATATATAACTGAGGATTTTTTTAAATCCCAAAATACAGCAACGAAGTATTTGCATAGGAAGATATTCTTGCTTCCCAGAGTAACTACAGAGTGATTTTTATTTCCTTGAATGAGACTGTAATGAACCTTCTTGCTAGTGTTTGAGTAAAGCAATTACAGTTATGAAGCAATGATAATTTTTAGAAAAAAAATTTTATCACGTTAAATATTTTAAAAACTCAGTTTAATAACCTTGTTGTGGGATTACATTGTATACTAGCACTTTTGACTAGTATGAAAAAAGGAAATATGGATCAAACCATCCTAACTTAAATACTTACTGTCAGGCTCTATGCTTTTATTCCGTTAATGAGCTGAAGTAAAAGAAGCTGTACTCAGGAAATGTTCTTTTAAATGGGGAAATTGTTTATGATCATTGGAAATGAAATTCCAGTTGGCTCTATCTTTACTTCAGCTCTCTTGAGTGATTTAGAGCCATGGTTTTCAAACTACCTACACCCCTTCCCCTTTGAATGAGAACAGTTCAGCTTTTGATTATTTTATATATTGGGTTCTCCATAAGATGTAATTGGAACAAAGAGTTCCACTGATAATGAGGTTTGAAAACCACTGATTAAGTGAAAAAACATCTTAGAAGATTAGGAAATAGGTAGAAACGAATGTATTAAAACTTAGGAGTAGGAAGAGTGAGGGTGAAGTACAGCTTTGCTATGTAGAAGCACTGCTTATGAAAGCACTACAGATGAACAGCAGAATGCATTTACTAGCAGGTTTCTGGTGCTTTTGTTAATTTCTCTTAATCATCATTTCTGTCTCCCCTGAATGGAATTTCATAATTGTCTAGGATGAGAGTTTGAGTGCCCCTTAAGCAGAACAGATTTTAATAACCAGTCTAATAGTAGGTCTTATATTTTATATGGGCACATTGGCATAACTTTACAAAACTTTATTTGCTGTGCAGTGATGGAACATTATATAATGTGGCTCATTTCTTGGCCAGTTAGTTAGAAGTACTATTGTGTTAAGAATTAAAGAAATGCAAGAGATGTTATACATACTGAGAGGAAACAGAATGGTAGATAGATTCTCAAAGATATTAATGGCCAATATTAATGGTTAGACCATGTTCTGTAATTATAAGAAAGATTGAAAACAGGATTTATTGGAGATAGTAGTTGATTTGCATTTGATCTCTGAAAGCAGTCTTGCAAAGTGACTGATTCTCACCTAATGAATGGTCTATTCTGTGATGTAGCATTTTGAGGAACTATCCTAGATCCTGGAATGTTTTCACTAGGTTTTGGCCTCTTCTGCTTATGTGAGAGAGTTTGTGTGTGTGTGTGTGTGTGTGTGTGTGTGTGTGTGTATACATATATATATATGCTAACCCGCCAGCTGCTCTGTGGGAGAAAGATCTGGCAGTCTGCTTCCTTAAAGATTATAGCCTAGGAAACCCTATGGGGCAGTTCTACTCTGTCACTATGAGTCAGAATCGACTCGACGGTATACAACAGTAACAAATATATATATATATATTTAAGAAGCCATGCAAAGTGATTAAAGTATGGAAGCGTTTTAAGAAACACTAAGAAGATGTAGGGATCTTTACTGATACCTAAAAAGAGATCACAAAGACATGGGGGAAGAATCTAATTGGAAATATCTGCCACAGGAGGAACACATAAATCTCTGCTAACCCAGTGCCTTAAATTGTGCTCATTTGAGTGTGAGGGCATATCTAAAGGAACAATTTGCATTTGGAATTTTGTAAAGGAATCTTCCAATAGAGTTGAGAAAAGCCCTGAACAAAAAGTTAAAGGATAGTGAATATAATATCAATGTCAGTTCAATACAAGATGAGAGGAAATGGAAGAAAAATCTATATACCATATTCAGTTTTTTTTTCTGTATTTTTAGATCATAGATGCTAGCATTACATCACACAAAACCAGTGGTGCCTTATAGAACTGAAAAGTTGGCCTACTGACCTGTGCTACCTCAGATCTATAAAGCAACCAGTACGAAGTGTGCATATCTAATCTCTGTCAGTGACTCAGATCACAGTTGATATAAAGGTTCTTGTTTCTTCGTTCAGTTGAATATAGTTTTTCATCATTTCCTTTCAATATAATTTAGAAAAAGAAATTTCCAAAAGTCACAACTTTTTTTATTGTTTAGCCTTTGTTAATAACATTTTTCCTTCCATGTATAAGCACAATCAACTGGTTGTCCACTATTTCAAAAATCATTTTTAAAAGAAGCAATATATTAGAGCACTCTGGGTCTTCTCATGAATAAAATGATTATTTTTAAAGCATAAAACTATATTTTTTAAATGTACAAATGATTAAAATATATTATCTGGTATGCTTTCTTAGGTTATTTTCTATTGCTTATTTCTACTTTTTACATTTTCAAGTTTTCATATTTCCTTTTGTGTATCTTTCATTACTACCATAGACAACTTGCTTACTTAGAAAAATAATTTTTGAGCTTATGTTACCTACAGATACCTAAACATTATCTTTTAAATATTGTCATGGAACAACTTTCATTACATAATATATCAATATAAATCATTTCTCGAGTAATACCAGAGTTGTTGAAACAACTGGTGTAATAAAAAACAGCCTCTAGACTGGGGATTTTTATTCCCTTAGGGTAAATGTTAGGTTTCTCAGTTATTTCCAGGGGTCGGCAGAGGTATTCTAGGGGGTTCATATCTCTACTAGTAGTAATGCTATTTGTTTCTGTTTCTATTTTTTGAACAAATAAGTAATTTGAGAACCTTCAAACTTACGGTGGGTGGTTAGTGAGGTTCAGCTTTCCTGTGACTCATTATTCTCTCAGTTAATCGCCTAGTTGAACTGTGCTAGCCACTGAGGTGGTTTTGACATTTTATGTGGTTTCACATTGATTTATATTTTTATCTGTTAAAGACAGGAAACATAATGAGCATTGATGTTGAAATATAGCAAATATGATGTATAAAAGTGATATTAATTCAGCAAGATGATCTTCACCACCAGCAATTTTAAATTGCATGTATCTGACCAAAATTCTTATGTAGCATGTAAAGATCTCTAGCGCTTCAAAAACTAATGGTAAACAAAAAATACAATTATATCCGATTAGGATTTTCATTGAATGAGAATAAAGCCTGTGTCCATACACAGTTTATTTGTGGAGAAGTACTTTCAAATAGCAACATGGAATCTTTTACTGTTTGAAAATAAAACAATTGTAAAAATAAACCAGTTCATTTTTGTAGAGCCCTCACTCAACATATTTTATAATGCAGTTTTTATCTGTTTTTCAAGTTGAACATGTTAAATTTCAGTCTTCATTTATGTTTTGTGCACTAATCTGAGCATACCTTTTTAAATTTATGTGTTGAAAAGCCATGGCTGTTCTTGTTTTTGCCTTTTTACAAAATTAATTTAAAACACCTTAAACACTATATTGCTCGTTCTTGGGAAAGTTGATGTTCTTATGTATTATGAATATTATTATTATTACAAATCACTTCTTTATCATAATCCATGGAAATGTGATGAAATAATTATTTTTACATGTTTCTAAGGGCATATCTGAGATTATATAATACTGAGATTTGTGAGTCACAAAGATTAGGAAATGCTTGTTGTGGATAATAATATATTTGCAAAAAAAGACATTACCAATTCTAGATAGAGCTAAATAAAGTTAAGATATCCATGTAAAATAGTTTGTCCAGATAACTTGAAAATATATCTTATTTATTTAAGTTTTAGGTGTTGGGTTGTGAAGTAACTGATGATATGGAACTAAATTTGCCTTATTCAGACTGAGGCTGGGCTGTTAAACTCATTTCCAGCAAATATACTGCCCTATAACTTCTGTATGTATATAGCGTTGCTTCTTAACCTCTTTAAAAATAAATATAAATATATATGTGTGTATGCAAATGAGTGAAGAGCACTAGCCTGAGCCAAATGGCCTGAGAACACAACCACTGAACCAATTTCTGTTGAGTGGACTCCGACTCATGCGTGAGTCAGAGTAGAACTGTGCTCCATAGGATTTTCAAATGACCGGTTTTTCAGAAGTAGATCACCGGAACTTTCTTCCCAGCCGCCTCTGGGGTGGACTTGAACTTCTAATCTTTTGTTAGTAGCCAAGCGCATTAATCATGTGCACTACCCAGGGATTCTGAGAATACAACCAGTATCCCTAATCTATCTATACTGTGTACAGACATGAATCATTTCATCTTCAGTGCCTTTCCTTCCAATATTATCTGCAGTGTCTATTTCAGTTTGTTCTAATGTCTTTATAAATCCATACATTGATTCCTGTATTGAGAAATGCCCTCTCTCTTTTCCTCACTGAGACCTATAAACTAAATTTGCCCTTGGCTAAGAGCACTTATATGTACCAAAAGAACGTTTTGGACTTGGGAAGCAGCAGACCGAGTAACATTGCCCTAGAGCAGAGTTGGCAAGAAGGTGGTGTGCTTGCCACCTCTGGCCCACAGCAATTGCAGCTTGGCTTCTGTCTGTGCCCAGACTTGGCCTCAACATCCTCATCAATACAAAGCTCCAGCAACTACTCCCAGTTGATCAGAGATTGCATGTGATTTAAAGCTTATTTGCTAACCCTGTCATAAAAGAAATAGGCAGCACAAGTGACTTTCAAATTCAACTGCATTTTGCTTTTTTGTATTTAAAAAGTAAATGGGCTTTGTCAGTATTAATGTCAGATTCCTTGACATTCCCCTTCTTTATGTAACCGTGATTGCTTTTACATTTGTTCCTTAGGGATGTTGAAGAATGTGCCTTATTCAAATTAGTTGTCTGATTATTACCAAAAATAAATCTCCTTAATTTTTCTCAGTTGACTGATTCTTGATTAAAGTTCCCAACACAGCAAGTTTATAGACTGGCATCTGATCATTAATGGTGAGAAAGGAAATGGCCTTCCTTTGGCAATAAGCTGAAGAAAGAGCCAAAGAATCCTGTGAGGGTCAGGTGGCACTTGGCCATCAGTGAAGTGGTATGTGAGGACACCATGCCTGCAATTATTGCAGTTCTCTTTTAACCTCTTGTGTACTGTTCCTTCTTAAAGAGACTTTCTTGAGTAGGGGAGAAAGAATGGGGTAGTAAGTACCTATTGCCATCCAGTCGATTTTGACTCTTGGCAATACTATAGGACAGGTCTGAGTAGAACTGCCCCATAGGGTTTCCAAGGCCATAATCTTTGTGGAAGTAAACTGCTACATCTTTCTCCTGAGGAGTGGCTGGTGGGTTTGAACCACAGACCTTTTGGTTAGCAGTTGATCACTACAACAACTGCACCACCAGGCCTCCTTGGGGGCAGTAAGCAGAGCTCTGGGAATTGCTCCTAACTCAGGGTGTGCTGATTGGGAAGTGTCTCTAAGTGTGGACATCATCAATCTGTGTGTTGGGAAGGGAGAGGGTAAGAATTTCCAGAATTAGAGCAGAAGCCCCTGAATACCCATCTCAACCTCTCATCCATCCTTCTCCCAGCTTTCTGTTCCTACTATACATATCCTTCCTAAAAACAAAGGATCTACTGGCAAATTTTATAGACTACTTTTCACCAAATCTGAATTGGATTTTGAAAATCTGAAATATTAATTCTTGCAGTTTAGAAAGGTAGGAACTCTTAGGAGGCAACATATCTTAAAATATGATCTTTCAGTAAAATGGGTTAGAGTCAAGAGGTAAGACAAGCTCAAAGGGGAAGAACATAGGATTTCCCAATACTCATTCCAAACATTCATAGGTTTGTAGCACATGATTTTTTTTAATACATAAGCTCACCACCACTAGGGAATGTTATATATTTCTCTAAATAGATTGAAACAGACTGAGGCCTCAAAACTGTAAAAACTGATTAATAAGGAAGGAGGATGCTATTAGTTACTGTAGGAGTTGTAATTTTAAATAGTCTACAATAAAAATTATGTCCAATCTGATCCTAAGGTGCAGTCTTGGTCATGGACTCTTTGATGCAGAAGCAGTTCCAAGAAGTTAAACTGAGAAAAGATGGTAGGTACTTAAATGAAGATCTTAGCTACTTTAAGAAAAGGAGACAAGTAGGCTCGTCCTATTTTGTACGTGTGCAGCATATTCACTACTCAGGAATCCACCCAAATGGTGTATGATTTTAGAGCTCACAGAAGACTCTCATACACATATGCTAAAAATGAAACACAGACTGTCTTTGTGACCTGTAGCCTGATGCTTTTTAGGATCTCTAATTTCTTAATATAAGTCAATATTTAAGTGGAACCATTGATTTAGTATCACCTTTT